CTTTGACTTGATTCAGCATTGGCCTCATGTTTGCCTAGTCCTTACTAGTCATTTTCGTTTTGACTATATAGGACTGCGACAGGCATCATGAGACGAAATTACAGATCAATGTAGGCCTAAGTAAGAACTTGTAAATGTAACAACTAATCCTGAAGCTAGTCCCGAGATATGGGGTCCTCAGTGTATCAACTCCACTGCAATCTCAGCACGTCTGCCACGAAGTCAAGTTATCAGCATACCCCACCTGCTCCGACCTGAGACATCCTCATATGGACAATACGAATTAGAAGTTAGGCCTATATGCAGACATACAGGATTGCTACGTATGTAGAAGATAATGCAAAGAGAGCCTTGTTCCATATGTAAGCATTGCCTGTAATGTATCTGGATGCCCTTTTTGCTTAAGGTATTGAGAAAAGAAGTAATTTGAGAATGGTTACCGATTGAAGCAACATAGGCCCATCAGTGTCATGAAAGTCTGGAATCATATGATCATAGTGTATGGATTAACCCTGTCTCAGTTAAGAAAAACCTTTTTTTTCCCTCCTTCCCCAACCCCCAAGGCGAGGCGAGAGGAAAAAAAAAGGTTTTTCTTAACTGAGACAGGGTTAATTCCTGCTAGGACTATTAGAAACCCATCTACTTACTTGATAAGGTACTGTAATGTCAAAGTTACTTGTATCACAGCATCTTATTCAAGTGACCTAAATGACCTATATTAGTAACATTGCATCACTGGGTCAACCTGGGTTACTCTTAATCTCATAGATCTGATTTTGGAATTTAAATAACTTGTAAAAAAAAGTATTTAAGGGTTCAGATGTTGGGCCTAGGTTAATCATATTGATAAGCATTATAGTAAAGTTGGGTTCACAAGTGCATGACAAAGCTGCTAATGATGTGATTTGGAAAAGGCTAAAAGAACTTTGTGCTGCTAAGAAATTTTCCCCAACAGGACTGTTGTGACTGAAACTTGAACTTGCCACTTAGAATAACAGTCTTTTTTGTCAATTTCTTTCTGCAAGTAAGCTTTACATGTTGAACTGTGCTAATTAAGGAGATATATGTTTTTCCAATGAAAATTAGGCAAATTCAATTGTAACAAGTTCATAAGGCTCCATTTCTTTCCAAGCTTTCCCAATTGTCTGCATCACATTGCTTTCATGAGAGAAATGTCTTCATGTTGGATGTTGCTCTTGTAAGAGAATGCCTTCATGTTGTTTGCACATGTACATAAGTTTGCTGTCACTTTGCATATCATTCATGTAGATCAGGTATAATCAAGGACTAAGACAAAATCCATGAGTCTCTATTAATTACTATTCTGAATGCACTTTTAAAAGGGCCAAATATCAACTAATTTTGCCCGGTAAGATGAGAACTACAATAAATTGCTGCAGGATAATCCCATTATTCTTATTGAGTAGAATATCATTTTCAGGAGATTCCTCTCAGGACAGAAGTGATTCACAGTTATTTAATTCTATGTTATTCCCACCTTTAGAAACTGGAATGACTAGTGTAGTATTTTACCTATTTTCAATTTGCTTGGAACCATTCCCTGCGTGAAAAAACAGACTAAAAATATAATCCAATTGTTTGGTGCAGCACCCACATTCTCATCTCAATACCTTGTCACAGCCAATTGACTTTCACCCATCCTTCAGTATGAGGTATTTTACTTTTCCCTTTTTTGCAACAAAAAAAAAATGAAATGAAAAGAAAAGAAGTTTGTTTTGATGCTTGGTAGCATCCATTGGATTTCCTTGGCCTATAGATCTTCCTTACCATGCAGTGCAAAATTCAATGCCTTAGGACTTCATACAGACTATCCTCATCATTTGGGCACTCCAGCTCATCCAAATTCTTGCTTGCATTTGTTGCATTTGTAGGTCTATATAAAAATATGAGACCACTTGAGGCAATTGAGAATGATACTCGGTTATTCTTGGAGGACAAGATTGATGAGTAGGGATACAGTAGGTATGGGGTCCTTCTCTAAAAGACCAGATCCTATTTTATGTGAGTAGCTTTTCAGCCCTAGCTCTCTTCTGAAAGATATGAATTCAAGCATTACCCCACATGTGACACACACAATTAAATGGTAGAATTATCTGATTCACCTTTTCTAGGTGATTTTATCTCTCTTAGTGAAACTCCTTTCATCTATCTCTTTGATATCCTGGGCAGCTGCAATAAAGGAAGGCACTATTTTGCTAGCTGGGAATTTCCATATGTGATTATGGTTACTATGGCCTGAATAATATCTGATTTAGGCTTTAGATTCTGCTTGGATTTTGGCCAGTTTTGCACTCTTAGCTTTTCGTTTTGACTTATCCATGAAGGTCTTAACATTTCCATGTTGTAGGCCACAGAGTAATATACACTTAAATTCTACAAACAACAGTTTGACTAACAACTGGTTTGTTTTCTGGTTTGCTTATCTGCGCGGCTTTCTCAGAAAGAGCCCGTTATGCTTCTGCTGAGATTGTCACTGAAGATCCATGTTTTTTCAACTGGAAATATAGCGGCTGTGTTATGAACTGGCACGAGATTGAGATTTACGTGCGAAGATCTCATGGCTGGTAGCACTTTCTAATGTCTCTCTCTCCCCTGCCCCCCCCCCCCCCCCTTCTCTACCAGCTGATAGGGTATTCCCGCGACTAAGCATTTGGAGTTGAGTGACGAGGTCGAGCTGATAAGGACCGACAAGATGAAAGTTACTGGAACACCGGATGTCGCGGAAAAGTTACGAAAGGAAGCATTGGACGTCAGGCCTTCGGAGATGTTAAACCCGGTGACGACACGAATCACTTTCTCATCTTTATGTTCGTAGAAATGAGGAACTGGACCGTCCGGTGATCGAGTTAGCGCATGCCGTAGTGATTTGTGGTCCACGTCCTTCAATGTTTGGCATGCATCGATCTTTGACATTGGAGTGGCAGCGCAAGGCCAGAGGGGTCTTCGAGCTGTTAAGAGGGACCTGTACAATGCATTTCCTTCGGGTTGAATCAACATATTATCCTGTGGAGGCGGTTCCTCATGATGCAAGTGCCCATGGAAAAACCCGAGTTCTCGGTAAACAGAGGTGCGGTGAAGGTTGTGCAGGTTTTTTGTTCCGTTCTAATCATTTCGTCGACTCGAACCGCATTTTCCATGCTCTATGGCCTCCTGCAGCGTGGAGACAAAAGCTTTCACTCGTACCTGAGAGAAGGCACGGAACCACGAACAGATGTCGTCATTTCTTTCCCGAATTCCTTTTCTTTGCTTCACACTCAGCTCTTCTGAAAGTTCGAGCCGCTGTTGTGTGTGGGAATGTTGAAGTATCCTGTTCTGTGGAGTTTCGAAAGCAAAGAACGGGTATTGTGGAACGAGTTCTGGTGTTCTATGTTGGTTAGGAAAAAAGTTCCCCTCGACCTTGTAAGTACTGAACCTTTCACTAGTCCTTGATTCATCTGGGACTGGGTGCAGCTTAAATAGGTTACAGTGTGCACGTTAATGGGCCGTCGCTCACGCACCGATCAAGCCGCATCGTTACGCAATTCTCTGTTCTGGCGAGTCCGTGCACTAGATTTTGTTTGGACCCGGCACGACAAGGGAAAAAAAGTAATGAAAAACAAGTTTTGGTCTTCTGAAGCCGAACTGTTGTAACGGTGGATAGTGGTTTCCAGCTTGGGGTTTCCTCCTCCGCATAGACCCAACTTCCAACGTGCAGAAATTGGAGGGAGAGAATAATGCCTCATTTCACGCACGAGAGCCCCCTCTTCCAAGTGTGTCTGTTTTGGGGCAGGCGATTTCTTTCAGGGTGACAAACGCAGCATCACCTTTGACGCCAAGATCCCACCTCGTTTTAGTCTTTTCAATGCGCTTCGCACCCTCCCGTGAGGTGAATGTCTGACTCCCGAACTGGAACAGCCCCACTCTTCCGCCTCCGTCATTTTTAGTTCCACTCAGCTTCCGGGAGTTCATGCCATGACCTGAATCGGGAGAAATGAGTCTTCTTAGGAACGGATTTTCCGCATTCCTATTCTCCCCTTAATTCGTCAGCCGTATCGCTTAGATATATTTTGTCATTCCTCGTGAATTCTCGAATACCTCGCTTTGATTCAATCGAAAATCTATAGATCTCGCGAGAGATCTTGTGGAAAAGTAAGGAAAACATTTCCTTCTGACTTCCTGGAAATAATGCATCGTCAACGGTGGATGGATGAATTGGATCTTCAGACGAGGAGAAACGTGGGATATGGGCTATAATAATAATTGAGTAAGCCTTAGTAGAGGTGATGTGGTATGAAATGCTGGGTTGGAGTTACGACAGGGGATGGATGAATGTGTGTTTCGCAATATCCCCCCGCTCTCTTCCTTTCCGCGCTCTTTCATGTGGGTATATCCGTCCCCTGTCGCGCTAATGCCAAGGCAGGATAGTGAGAGGGGACCGATGGTATTTTGATTGGATTTCTTTCCTATTCGTCCGCTTTGACGTCATCATCACCCGAGAAAGACTTACCAGTGTTTTCCTTGCGTGAATCTTTGCATGGTGTCTACCTATTGACCCGTGCCTGGGCTTGGCCGTGGCAGTGAATCACCCTGCCGTGCCTTCAACGGGCGGGGCATGAATCCCTTCGAAGAGAACGGGAGGAGAAAGGAAACTGGAATGGATCTGCTGTGTGTGTTCAACTTCCCGGTTGCCTCTTCATCCCGCATGCAGGACCTGACCTCGTTCGTTTCCTTGATCAGGATCTTTGTGGGCTGGGGAATGGGAATATCCCATCCGGACTTTTGTGCCGTGGATCTCATTATCTTCAACCGGTTCTTTCCTGTTCACTTCCTGCTCATTACTCCTCCCTCTCCCGACCCATTTTTCTCTTTGCTTCGCCATATAATTAAAATCTCTTCATCTTTATCGGTTCATTATAAAGGAAGCATTATAGGCCTAGGTCTGACAAGTAGGCAGCTGTTGTAGAGTAACAGGAAAGTGCATTTTGAAACCTCCTTCTAACAGGTTCGACGCTCTTACGTGTAGATCTTTACAATGGTAGCTTGGGTGAGAAAGAGACTTTTCTTGAACTATTCTCAAACCAAGACAGATGTCTGCCTCCCTGCACCATTGTAGACTTGTGAGAGCGCCACTGCTGTGGCTACCTGTGTCTTGTATCCCAGACTTAAAGCGCTGAATAAACAACATGGCAAATGACATGCCATCGGTGTATGCAGTGACTGGGTTGTATGCATCAGCGCCCTTCAGTGATGACGTGAGTCGTGATGGTGATACTGGCCCATGTGGTTCCTCAACATGCGAACTTTTGGGACTTCAAAAGGAGGAGAAGACCCATAAGCGAGAATCCAGCCGAGACTGGAATCCGTCGCACAAGAGGGAGACCAGCAGGGACTGGAACCCCATACACAAACGTGAGACCAGTCGGGATTGGAACCTTGGGCATAAGAGGGAATCCAGTCGAGACTGGAAGAAAGGCCATGAAAGGTGAGATCAGAAATTTCCCATTGGTTTTGCCTGGTTGCGTTGCAAGTTCAGACTTGAAAAGAATCCTTTGTCCTTCCTGCAGACATGGTTCAAATGTGTCAAAAAAATCTTTGGTGGTGATATCGAGTCACTTGATTCGCGGAGAATCAACTACCCTCAGATCAGACACCAATGAGCCTCCCGAATGTGGCTTGAGCTCGTTCAGACCACGATTTCTTCAAGGATTCGCCACTATCAAGGTATCTTTCTCCAAGGACAACCCAATGCTCTTGAAAATCCTAGTGGTACGCAGAAGCGGCGCATGCTGATTTGTAGTGCTGAATGGAGGATCCAGAAAGAAGATATTAAGAAATATTGCAAAGGACAGGTAGACCAAGCAGTATTTCCTGAGCGACTGGAAGTACTTTGAGTTTGTGATCTGGAGAAAGGTTGTCAGGTCGATATGACTGTGACTTTACACCAGTGTATTGCGGTTGAGTTAATAGTTACTGGAGTTGTGTTATTAGCTCTAGAATGAGTCATTTTAATACAATGCTGAACTGTGATTTAAAAATTTGTTGTAGTAGCAACCTGAAAATTGTGGATAACATGAATGACTCAAGAAAATGCTCAAAGTTATGCATTGGTACTGAATTGTTGTTGAGACATTTTTTTTGTATTGCAGATGTTTGTACTGTTGCTGAGCCTGATAATGACTCTCCAACAAGCAGTCAGCAGTGGCTACCTCAACTCTGTGATCACAACGATAGAGAAGCGCTTTGAGATCCCTTCCTCACTCAGTGGAGTCATTGCATCAACATATGAGATAGGAAATCTGATCACCATCATCTTTGTCTCATATCTTGGGTCACATCGTCACATCCCAGTATGGATTGGTCGTGGTAAGTGAGGAGCATAATGTATGCTTGAGTGGGAGTGCTTCATTTTCTGTTGCTCCAAGTATGTGATTCTCTTCTTTCTAGGTGTGATTGTGATGGGTATTGGTTCAATGGTGTTTGTCCTTCCATACTTCATGAGTGACCCATATAGTGGAGCTTCAGGACAAAATCTGACTGACCAGAACATCTGTCGATTGCCTGTTGGTCCAAAGGATGAGTTTGATCGAGGCCTTGGTAGACTGTCACCAGGTTAGCCTTATTTTGCGTTGTTGCTGATTTCTGCTGCTTTTGGAAAAAATAACTGATGACTGATGGTATGCGTGCTCTGCAGGTCTATCATCCCCTCCACTGAATCCAGGGAACAGCATCCCTGGGCAGAGGGAAAACTGCATTGAAGGAGGGGGTTCCAATTCTCTTGTTGTGGTCTTGTTTGTGCTGGCACAGCTGCTGCTTGGCTGTGGTGGCTCTCCCATAGTTACTCTTGGTACCACATATGTTGATGATCATGTAAAAAAGGAGAACTCTGCTTTCTACATTGGCTGCATGTTCAGCCTTGGGGCATTTGGCCCTGTCTGTGGATTCCTACTTGGAGCATACCTTCTTTCCTTCCATGAAGATGCATTGTCTTCAAATGAACAAATCATGGATCTTGGTGAGCTGCTCCCTCTCTGCATATCAGGCATTACATCTGTTATACTGAATGCCTCAGTCTGAATTCTGCCTTACATCACACTTCATCTTTTATCAGATCAAAGCAGTCCTCAATGGATTGGGATGTGGTGGGGCGGCTTCATGGTGTGTGGCATTTTACTTGTCTTAGGAGGTGTCCCTTTGTTCTTTTTCCCCAAATCGCTCACAGTAAGTGTACACCCTGGATCATTTCATCATTGTTCTCTGTTGAAAAGAGAAGTGCAGTAATAAGGTACTTGTTGCTTGCAGAGGGAAAAAGAACGTGTCCGGCTGGAGGAGAAAGCGAAGGAATTTATGGTTCAGCATAAATCTCACTCTCTCCCAAAAGAAGGAGGTCTCTCTAAAGCACCATCTCAGAGCAAGGAGCAATATGGACGGGATGTTAAAAGTATGCATTTGCCTTTTGTATGTTATGCTTCTTTTGTGGTTGGATCATGGCTGATAGACAACATTTTCATTTGGTTGATTCAGACATTCCAGCATCCATGTGGAAATTGTTATCAAATCCAGTTTATTTGATAACATGTCTCGGCACATGCCTTGAACTGGTCATCGTCTCCGGGTTTCTTGTCTTCCTTCCAAAGTATTTGGAGACACAGTTTTACTTAACGAAGAGTCAAGCCTCTGTCTTTACTGGTGAGTTGGCCACAACAAGAATTATTAATTGAGATATATTACAGTCCCAGAGTGCTTTTAGGGCCCATTGATGAATAATTTAATCTGTAATGAATATGTACAGGTGGGATCGCAGTGCCAGGAGCATGCTTTGGAATCTTTTTTGGCGGATATCTATTAAAGAGATTTCAGCTTCGTCCACGGGGAGCCCTCGCTCTTGTACTTGCCTTTAACACTGTTTGCCTTGCTTTCTATTCTGTCATCTTCTTCATTGGATGTGACAATCTTCAGATGGCTGGTACCACTACTCCATATTCCAACAGGTTTGCCAAATTGTTCTGAATTCATTCTTACATTATGGTGAAGAGGGTGAGGTTGAGGTTTTATGTCTGGATGTTTCAGCACTCCAGTGGAAGGGTTCCAGGTTAACTTGACATCATCATGCAACTTTGGTTGTGAGTGCAGCACAATGGAGGTGGAGCCAGTGTGCGGATATAATGGAATCACTTACTTTTCTCCCTGCTATGCTGGTTGCACAGCTCCCTCTGCCCCACATAACTACACCAACTGTGCTTGTGAGTGATTCTGTTACAACACATTAAGAAGCTTTTATTTAGTGTTTTTTATCTTGACACTGTTCACACCATATGGTTAATAGCTAATCAATCACAGTTGTGGAGAGTTTTTGGGTATTCACTATTAGTTCTCACAAAGTGAGCTTGGTTGACTATAACAGCTGAGGTGACAGCTAACAGATGTTAAGGCCTGTTGGAGGAGATGGTAATATTCACAGGACTTAGTTTACCATACCATACCAGGACCATAAAGCCAAGTAGCATAGACCAGGGGCCAATTGCACCACTTTTGTTTAGTCAGACTTTAATGTGAAGTCTTTCTTAGGGAGCTTGTCCTTAATTTTAGCTGGTTGCACTGACCCTGGCTTAGAGTCAGTGCAACTAAGGCTGAAGCCAGCCTTTCTTTAAGTCATGTTTTTTTTATTAAGTCAGAGTTTTGCAAATCAGGTTTTGAAGGAAAAGCAGAGCAACTGACCCCTGATTTTGAATTTACATGTTTAATAATTTTATCCAATCAATAATACTAAAGAGAGCTTTAATTTCTGGTGTTAATAAGTTTTTTTATGATTTGGAAACAGTCCATAGGCCTCTTATTTAGACCACCTTAAAAAAATCACACGGTGTTGATGTTTGCAAGCAATGACTTGCTGCATTCCTTGGACCCTTTTCTTCCAAAAAAAAAAGGGGGGGGGGAGGGAGAGACATTTTTGGGTAAAAGTAACTCATTAACTTCAGTTAGGGATCATGAAGTTATCAGAATTACTTGCCAAGTATTTAGGTGCTGTTGCTCAAGAATGAGTCATGCTTTTTTTATTTGTCTGTTACTTACTCGGGCCTACTGATTGAACCAAAATTTGCATCACTTTATTTACCCTCTATCCAGTTTCATTCATTTCATGATTTTCAGACTTCTTGTTCTTGGTATATAGCTTCTCCCATGATGGATCTGTATTAAATATCCCATGTATTTAGATGTGGTGAGGAATTAAACAAAATGGGAGACATCATAATCTGTGAGGAAAAGGGGGAATCATGAGTTTAGAAATTCATAAATCCTCAGAAAACATCTTGACATCTTAAGTTGTGGATGAGAGGTCATGTTCCTGCTATTCATAGTGGGATTGCCTGATTCGTCCAACTATGGGTAGACACAGAATTGAAGTAGAAAATGGATAGTAGGATGTACAGTGTGTAAGACAGCAGTTCCCAATCTGGCTTGTGACCCACTAAGGGATAGTGAGAGGCTTCAAGATGGGTCATGAGAAACTATTCTGTCATCCTTAAAAGGAAAGAAAATCCCTTTTTTGTGTGTTGATTGTAATTCATTGAAAAGGTATAATTTAGAATGGTGGTGGTTCATACTTTTTTTTAGTAGTTGGCAAGTTGATTGTGATTTAAAAAAGTTTGCAAACCAATGATGTAGATGTGGGAACATTGCTCTAACATCACTGAGGGCTTGAAGTGCTTTTCGAAAGATAGCACTATACCTTTTTAATGCTGCAGACTTTTCTTCTTACTTTTCTTTTATTGCTATGCCACATGACTGTCTCCTCTGGCAAGCCACACAGAGAATTGATCAATTTGTGAGAAAACTAAAGATACAGATCACTTTGCACCAATATTGGCAGGTCTGAGGAGGGCTTCCATGATGCTTATAGTAGTGTTTAGCCATGCACAGCTACTTGATGGGAGACTTTTTCATGGTCCTTTTCCTGTTCAACTGTATTTCAAACTATAGGAGCTGACTGAACGAACAATTTGGTAGGAAAGAAGTTAACTTTTCTACTCTCTGCTTGCAAGTTTCATGAAAACCATAGAGAAAACAAAAAAGCTTCATGCTGTCTATGTGGCATCAGAAGCCATAAATGGTGGCCACTTCCTATAGTTTGGGTCACATTGACCAATGTGAACAGAACTCAGCAGTCTTAGGTAATGGCTGTTGTAGCAGCAATGATGGAATGGATGCTGAGCAGCTGGTATGGTACTCCCTGCCTAAAATGAGCATAAGATGCAGCATGAAGGATGTAACTACATGGAGGTGTTCCTGAGTCTTGTAATGTCAGGTGGGCCTAGAGGGCTTGACCATTATTGATGAATATTGTTATCCATCAGTTTATGGAAAGTAGTTTTAGATAGTTGAGATCTGTCTGTAGCCTGGATTTGGTTCAAGAAACTTCTCACTTGAAAATGAAAGGCCAGACCTAGCCTTCCCAGATAGTGTGGTTTCAGGTCCACAGTATGTCTAAAACAGGCATTGCCACATTCCCTGTGAGTTGCACCATATTAGTAGTGGTATTTTACAATCCCAGTCTAGTATCTTGCTGGAATCTTTATTCCTTTGTGCTGTTTTCTGATAGTAGCCACAGTCCAAAGTAGGCCTACTGAGAGCCTTTAGGTTGCTATTATTAGAAGAAGCTGTTGCTTTAGATGGGAAAGTGATTGCCCTCTCTTTCATTCCAGGTATTGTAGGTAATGCTCCAGGCTTGAATGGGAGTGCAGTTTCATCAGGTAAAGATGGGTTCGCAGAGGTTCGGGCTGTCCCTGTTGCAACTGCAGGTGCCTGTGCCTCTGCTTGTGAGGCTATTCTCCCCTTTCTCCTGCTCCTTCTTGTGATGACATTCCTTGTTGCTGTCACCCAGATGCCACTCTTAATGATCATCCTCAGGTGAGCTACCCCTTCCTTTGTTGGTCTGGTTTCAAGGACATATATTTTTACAATTTGTGTGCATCTTCAGGTCAGTGGAAGAAGAAGAGCGGTCATTTGCTTTAGGCCTCCAATTTGTCATGTTCCGACTACTAGGCTACGTCCCTTCCCCCATTGTGTTTGGGAATGTGATTGATACCACTTGCCTTCTTTGGAAAGAGGGAAAATGTGGGGGGAAAAGTGGTCGTTGCCTTCTCTATGATATTGAGGCCTTCCGTTTCAAGTGAGTGCCCCTAGAGGACCTCTCTTTTCATTGTAGTAGGGTAATACATTTTAATGGTCTGTCTTTTATTTTTCTCCATTCAAATTTGTTTCTCTCTCTTGCAGGTACATAGGAATATGTGCAGGGATCAAAGTGGCTTCAATGTTAGTCTTCCTCTGTGACTGGCTTCTTGTAAGGAGGCAATATAAACTTGACATGGGAGGCTCTATGACAGTAGGGGAGATTGTTAACTCCATCGTCTCCCTAGACAAAGGTTTGCATGATCACAAGCCTCAAGCAATTGTATTAATTAAAATGTATTCTCAGTCAAAGCTGTTTTCATAATTCATTTTGTTAATGATCTGGGAAATTCTTGGCAGGGCTGGAAGAAATGGCAGAGGATGGAGCCAAGGAGTTGGGCTGCATGCATGGGCAAGCCTCATTCTTGAGTTTGAAAAATTCTGAAGAAGAAGAAGAAGAAAGTCTTTCACTACATGACCAAACCCAAGCTGAGTCTTCGGTCTGAAACGCACTGTTTCTTTCACACTGTCACATTCTTCGTGGTACCCAAGAGTCTTTCTAGTGAGCATAAGTGCACCATCAGACATTCCTCCCCTGCCTCTGGTGCTCCAATCATGGAATTTCTTGCCTCCACCAGCTGTGCACATGCTCATCCCTTCATTTATGTTACTCTGACTTAGTAGATGTGGGACTGTCCTGTCCTGTCACTGACTGTGATCAAATGTATTAAGAGGAAAATGATACGAGTTAGAGTCTGAGTTATATTCACGCGATGTTTCTGCATCAAGGTCTCTAGTCACTGTAACACGGGATCTGTTAATGCTGACAGATGGGTCACTGTAACATGGGATCTGTTCATACTGACAAACAATTAATTTATTCACTCTTGATCAGTGGGAGTTTCTTCTTTTTTCTCATCTCATGGCATCAGTAATCTCTATATCACCTGAAACTCCTGAGTTTGTTAGGCATTCACTCCCTGATGCTTGAAAGGCAGATATCTCTTTGTGGGCCCAGAATTTGCCAGATTGATATCACAGTTGTGACTGCTGAGTATCTGCCTCAGCTAATCACTGTACATCATGCATGTTGCATCATGCACTTTTTCTTGATGGAGAATCGACATGATTGTGTATCACTTATGATCAGCTCTCATGGTTAGTTCTTTGTCAGCTGGGATTTATAAATGCTTCTGGAGCTCTGAAAAGTTTAAACACTGATTTTGAGCACATAGAGGATGTCACAAGTTCTTAAATCAATTTGCGAGAAGAGCTTGCTCCATGCAAATGCATTTATGGTAATGTGTCAGCCCTAGTTTGAATAAATGCAGAAAGAAACTCTTGCTATAAATATGGCTCAACTGTACTTCATATGATGACTCTTGGTAAATTAGAGGCAGTGCTCTAACTCTACTCCTCTATGGAGGAATAGAAGTCAGCATTTTCATAGTGAATGTTCTCGTACGGCACGATGTCATGACGCACACTCATGAATCTATATGTGTACTGTTTTTGCTTGGTGTTACTTCTTGTTTCCAGTTTTTTTTAAAATCCCTTCTCATGTACAAGGTTGATGGAGGATGGATAGCTCTCATCAGTTTAGGCTATAGTTCTCATGATAATGAGGACAGACAAGTTGAAGTCTTTTTTTCCCCCTCCCCCCTCACAGGTCTAGGCTCCTGAAGTGTTCTCCAGTTGCAAATACATATTGTGCAGTATGCATGATTCAGTAGGATTCTAAGTAAGTGTTTACAGAAAGGGAGAACATTTTTTGATCAGAGTTCTTAAAATGTAATACATTAAGGGTTGGTGTGTACTTCCTGTGAATTTCTGAGAACAGAATAGGATGTTCAAATTCTCTTTAAGTTGCACACATTCTGTCATTGTAGATAAACAGGATGTCCTTTCTGATTCTGTGGGAAGTGTAGCATGCATTTTCCATCTTTCTTATCTGGGTACTGCACAGGGTGTATTTACAACCCATTCAGGCTATCTGAAGGCATTCTCTCTCCAGTCTATATCATCTCTGATGGTGAAGGAGAATGATGAGTGTTTACTAATCCCTGGACCTGAAGTCTTTTGAAGTCATTTTGAGGTGTTAGTTGAAGATTACGAAGTTATCTGACGTAGTCCTCAGAAAGTATGGATCTAAATCTAAATGAACACTTAAGTATCTAAATGAACACTTTACTTTTGAGGTGGATAATATATTTGTCTGTGTTTGATCTGGAATCTTATTCTGATAGAACCAATAAATGAGGTGGAAGAGCAGCTTCACAGACTTGCCTGTTTTGTCTGGTTGGCAGTACAGGATAGAAATATTCTTTCAAAAGAAACCAGTGAAAGTTCACTACGTTTTGTATTATCTTCATGGGTTTTTTATGAGGAAAAAGCAGCTCTAATTTTATTACTGGAAACTTTTGAGCAGGTCCAGATTCATGAAGTATAATGCTCTGAGTAATTCTTATGAAAGAATCTTTCATTTTGCATGGCCAGCCTCTTGTGCCAAAATCATTCAATTTGAGGATTGAGCAGGCATGAAAGGAGCCTCACAGTTTAGGTATATATAACAGTGTTGAATGTTTGCCTCTTTATATTTACTTACTTTGTTTTCTAAACTAATCAAAGTAAATTGCATTGCTAGAAACTTAAATTTACAGATATTTCACATGTTACATGAGAGATCCCTTGAACTGCATGCAGAGACTCAGGAACATTTCATCTCAGGAATGGCATGCAAAAAGGGAATTAAATTTTCATTAGTTTCTTGAAAAAAAAGAGAGATATTTCTTTGAAATCCTTGCCAAGGGATCCCAAAACTTTGTCTTGAAATTCATGCCGTCCTCCATTCTTCATGGCTGACTAACACATGTAATTATACAAGATACTAGTGGAAATTTCCTTTCTGTGTTCATATTTTTGAGCAATAGGAAGTTGTCAGAAGGCTTTCATAGTGCACAAAAAGTGCATGCATGTGACTTAAGATATATTTTATTGCAAGCATAATTGTAGTGTTTTTCTGATTGAGCATGCATTGATGTCTTGGAGGTTGTGGTTGGTTTTTCATGCACTTCAAAGTTGAGTCTTCTTTGGTAGAGAATCTTGATTGAGGCCTGCAAAATAGTCATACACCTTACACTTCCTGCAAACATGAAATGTTACTGCATACATATGAGAAGCACTGTAGCCAAAATGGCACTTCAGGAGCCAGTGATGTCAATGCGAGTTTCATCAAGCAAGGTGGCATAATGATTTATGCAAATATGTCCTTGCATGTGCGATGTTTGAAAATGTGTCTTGACCCCTCTGTTTCTTCTCTATACAGAGTGAAAGAAAAATTATTATTTTTTGAGGTCTCTGGTTTTTAGGTTTTTTCTCTCCCAGCCATGTGGGAAGCCAAAGCTATAGTTCTTCCTGTGGTTGTTATTGAAGATATTGTTCCTTCAATAAATGAATACGATATTGTAAATTTTTCGTTTTTGCTATTCTCAACGGTCTTCTCTTCCTGATTTTTAAAGATTTCCTGTTCTGATCGACCATGCATCAGGATATCTTTTTAACTTCTTTCGATATCACAAGGAGTATTGACTGACTGAAGGTAAAGTTTAGGGATGAAGGCAGATTGTTACAGTGTCATCCATCTTGTCAATCTGTGCATCCATCCCTAAAAGGGACATCCTCGCACAAGTCAAAGTATGACCCATTTGTGCAGATGAGTACAGTACTTCACTGGAAGTACTTAGACTGAAAGCACTGTGATAGCATTGATATCAGGAACACAGGTGTTCTTGAGGAATTGGTCTGAAGGAAATCCACGTTTCGTTGAAAAGTCAAGCGTACATCGAACTAGGGGACCAACAAGATAAAGAGATGCTGGACCACGGAATTTAGGGATGTACAGAATGCAGAGAAAAATGAAAGAAAACAAAAGATTTTGATGACGGTGACGTGAATGAAGCAGTGGGTTCTTGGTTCGTGAAAACCTGAATTTAAAGGAAAAGGGGGCAGATTTGGAAAATAGACCTAGGTTATTTGAACTGGTAAACTCCAGAGGGGCCGTTAGACCCCCCCCCCCACATTTTTTTTGGGGGAGGAGGATAAAAAATTCGAGGTTGGTGTCCTATTCGGGGGAAAACAAAAAAAAAAACATGTGATCAGCGGATTGAACGTCCGATTGCCCAGTTTTCTTTATGCCTGTCTTGGATGCAAAGCGCCTGAGGTAATGAGGAATCCATGCAAGCATCGTGTGATTTTGGAGTTTGATTCCTGCGGGAATCCATGCAATTGAAGTCGTATCGCGTAGACTTGCTTCATTCAAGTTTTCCTTCCCTTCCTCCCTTTGCGATTGCAGCATTGCGAGACTCATTCACCATAAACCAAGCATGTGCCAATGAGCTAAAAAAAAATACGGGATAAATGGAATTGTAAAAAGAAAGCCGATTGTCACTGAATCTGAAGAAAAAGTGATTCAATCAAGCCAAGGGGATACATGAACCAGGTTAATATTTTTTTTAGCATTGATTGCTGAGGAATTGGGATTAGAACTAGTGTCACACGCTATTGCAACTAGTGTGAATTTGAATGCAACAAGCATTTTGTCCCCTACGAGGCTCCATATTATCAATTCCAATCAGAAATACCACTCAGCTATAATTGCCAAAAATAATTAGCATATTGACAAAGAAGAGGTGCTACTGCGCATTGCGCACTCATTATTTCCATTCGACATTAGGTTCTCCTCGAGCCCAACTCAGCTCTGCCCCAGTTCGTGATCTAGCTGAATCTAATGAATCCAGTGAATCAAATCACTGGATCTAATGACCGGGACGGCTGAGTCTCGAAGCCCACTGGAGGCACAAGAATCGCCCGTGACAGCATGAATAAACAATATTTTAAACTGAGGAAAAGGTATATTTGCATGTGGTATCGAAAAGTGGACAGTGATATCCCCGAGAAGAGATTCTTATTCAACCTCATCCCCTCACATGGCTGTGAAGATGATTTGAGTTCGTAATTGCGCAAAATCGCTGGTTCGTAAATGTCACAACGAGATTGGAAAAATGGAGATGCTGTCCTTTGTATTTCTTCTTTCTCCGGGCTCAGGAAATCAGTAATAACAACTTGAACTTCTAAGGAAATCTCGAAGGTGCTATTAGAACAACATAATAATTCTAAGGATTTCCATACTATTCTTAAAACTTCTCAGAGTGGTTATATTGGAGCACAAAGATGGCCTACAACTTGAAGTTTACTAGCGGATTGGCTCTAGAAAGTGTAACATTCCATTGCTTCATTTAGTGAGGGAGATGTCAGAAAAAACAAATAGGGTTTTGTGGAATCCAGGCGGGATTTTGAATTCTAGTGGGAGACAGAATTACGATAAATCCACAGGTGCAATAAAATCAACTAAATTGGTTTTTCTGTATCACCACCTCCCATTACAGAGATTCCAAATCATCTGGTTTTCCTGTCACTAGCTTTCGTCATTTTGTTTTTCCTTGGGCGAAAACGGAATCATTAAGACACCTGGGGAAAATGAGTATCAAGGTATTATAAAAATAAATTCGAGTCCATTACTCGCGAAGTTTTATCAAATTAAAGTCGAGTGAAAATGAAAATATATAACTTGTTTTGGGATGTGGCACAAGTTTTTTTCTCCATGACACTGAAGTATATTTGAACCCTAGCTCTATTTCTGCATCGGTTGCTGCGGCAAGGCTTGTTACACCTGCAAATAAAAGTCAGCACCCCCTCTGAAGTGGCTTGTCCCTGTCCTTAAAGCTTTCGTCAAGGAGAATGTGACATCAGGCACCTTGGTGGGAAAAGTATGGTTGGTTTACTGCTCATAAATGCCCGCACATTTGATTGAAAATGTTAATTTTGGGAAATTATGTAAAAGAGGAACTGGTCAACCTATGCATACTACTTTTCCTTATTTTTAAGACGACGGTCGATTGATTCTTTCCTTGGAAGCTCGATTAAATACTTTTTTGCAGGCGGCCCAATTTTTCTTTCAGCCCTTCATTCTTCGCCGAATTGATTATTACAGGATGATCATAAAATCAGGAAACTCAAACATTTGAGCGACGCCTATCCTATAATAAAGCTGACCTTCCAAATTTGTTCAAATAAAAATTTTTTCACACCTGTGCGTGTTAACTGGAAATCACAAACAATGCTGAAAGTGTCCCGCTCGAACTTGATAATTTATGAATGAACTTATGAATCATGAATCGATGAACTTATACATGTTAGGGTTTCCTGATCACTCTATACTTTTCGAATGCGGTCTTCTTTCACTCATGTCAAGAAAAAATATTCCTTTGAGGAAGCACTAAACTCTGCCCCAGGGCTTCCGAGAGGCCCCCCCCCCCCCTTCCTCGGGTAAAATACGCCAGACACACACGGAAGGAGAGTCGCCGGAGGCGAGACAAGACATGAATTTAGGATCTCCTGAGAGTGTCTCGGAAATCACGCGACATTCAGACGATTCAATGAACCCTTGTGTTCATCAAAACTCTGTTTAGGGTTAGGGGTTTAGAACTTCCCAATATGGATATCTTGGGAGATCTAAACCCCTATTGATACAAAATCTCACGACAATAATACTCGTCTTCCCCTTTCAAACGCCTGGCTTCTAGTTTCTTCCTTTTCCCCGAAATGGCCTGCAAATAAAGCTTTAGGGTGGATTTTTGAACAGAGAATTATCCGATAATGCTGCTTTACTTTCAGGAAATGTCATGTATTTTCTCTGGAATAAAGATGCATTATCGGCTGGTTCTCTGTTCAAAAATTCACCCTTAATCTCGAAAAAACAAACTATTGGTTCCTACTGTATACATGCGTTGGAAGCAGAAGCTGCAACCCGTTCTGGCTTGGCGACGATGGGCTTAGAGGTCATGCACGGTGGCGTCACGTGGTCGGGAATGCAGCTACGGGATTCTGCGGTTGGCTCTACTCCAGTCCCAGCCTCGTTCTTCTCACTCTCCTCAATATGGTGGCTCACATAACTGCAATTTTGAGGTCCAAACGCATATCTTGACGTTGGTTAGGCTGACCGTTCGATCTAACCTATGTCTACAAGATCGAAAGCCCCAAGTGCCTTCTGCTAAACTGAACCGGCTTGTAGCCTATGAATGATATACTTGTTCCTACGCGAGGTTTTTATCCCTAGCTAAATTTTTCTCGAAGATAAAAAAAAATGTCTGGGGAAATCCAGCCACGAAAGAGAAAAGACAAAAAGAAAAAGAAAGGTACGCCTTCAAGCCTTGGTTTCTGACAATGGAGGAAGAAAGTCCTCAAACTTCAGTATTGCGTGAAGAGTGAGTTCTGGGAATTAGCATTAAATGACTGCCACTTCTTACATTTTAGCTCAACTAGAAGCTTTGCAGGCCGAGGAATATGAGAATGAAAAGAAAAGCATTCAGCTTCTTCATGTTCAAGACTCAAGAGGTGAGCTTGAAGACAGGGTTCCATTTCTTGAGGATCACCAATCACAGGTCAATTAACCTATCATAAGCCTAGATACAGAAGATAAGCTTTTTCTCTTATGGTTCCAGATGAATTAGAGGACTTGGACTCTGGATCTTCATCACCCAAGCTGGTACCTCAAGGAGGAGGCATATGCTCTCGTATTATTTTCTTTCTACTCCTCACAGGGCTTGTGCTTCTCACGGTGCTAATTTTCTTTGAAGCACGCTCAGCAAGAGAAGGTTTGACAAAATTTTATTCTGCTTGCATTCTGTTTTCAATGGGATTTGTTGAGGCTTTGCTGAGAGGGTTTTTGTTGCAGTGGATCTTCCCTTGGAAGCATCAAGGTTTTCAGCCATTTTTGATGGTTTAGTGGAGGATCACATGGAGCAGCCAGAAGAGGCACCAGCTTATGATACAGAAGAACCTGTTGCTGAGCAAGACTTCAGAGCTGACCTCTTCCCTCCCAGTGATCAGATTGAGGTTAGATTTATGGTGTCCTGTCCTACTTTACTTTGTTTTCTTTTAATCATCATTCCATTTCCAGAAAGGCAGCAGGACATTGTCCTCTACAACAAGCTCAGCCATATTTTATGTGGTTTAGAGGGGATGAAAGCTGAAAATATATAATTGTAATTGTCTAATAGTACCAATAATAAGCCTAAACCTCATGAGTGATGGCCAATAGTTAAAAGTCTGATAGGATTTGTGTAGATACACCAAATTAGCTGCAGACAAGAACCTGCAATGCACAAAAAGGAAGAGGGGGAATAAAAAAAAAACAACAAACCTATATTTGCATGCTTGGCTTTGAGCTAACTGGCAACATTATGATGGATACCAAATAATAAGACAATCAAATCTCTCTTCATTTCTAGAACATTGAAATTCTAATTCAAGTATAGGAAGCTCCTAAATGTAATTCAAGCTGAAAATTTTATGAGCCCCAATAGTTCATGTTAGAACTGTCCAAAGAGAAATTCCTTAAGTTTTTCTCTTTTGTGGAAGCAAATGAAACATTTATCAGTTTATCTGGGAACCATTCTCCCCTTGATATGTCAAGTGAGATACTTCCTTATTTTAGGCATTGCCTCAATAATGCTCCTTCCAATATTTCTGTTTAATAGCACCAATTATCCACAAGAAGTAATGATATGAAATTAGACTATTTTTTCTAGACAGACTACCAACACCAAACTTGCTTTTTCTGCCAAGTAAATTCCATCCTTCATTTTCCAATTTCAGATTTGACTTTTAACCCCTTAGGTGGGGAATTTCTTGGACAGAAGTCTACCACCAGAGTCAGAACTTTTTTTTCATGAAAGTGTTTATTAGTGTGTGTAAGAAATTTACTACTCTTTTTTTTTACTCCTATTTCAAGTTTCAGGTTTATATTGAACTAAAACTTGAAATATAGCATGGCAGAAAAGTGTCAAACCTATCTAGGGAGTGTTTCACCATGGCATATACATAATTCATACCCACTTAAGGTGTTAACATAGTTTAGGGTATGAACTTGACCAAGTGATATCTGTGCTTCTGCCCTCATTGCTCTTATTTTTGTATTCATTGCTTCCCATGATTTTTTAAATTTAGTTTCTTTATTTCTTTATAATTATTTTGATTTTGTGGTTGTGTAACAAACTTATATTAACTACTCAGTTACCATGGACCAACTTATCCCACATGTGGTACTAGTATTGATGTTAAGTTTTTTCATTTATGTCCTGATGCCTTGAAGCTTTCATAGCAATATGCCATAGCAGGTGGAAGTTATTGGGAAGTTCACCTCTCTAAATGAAACCCAAACCATTATGTAGAAGGATTATCTTTCTTTTGGGAGGAATTTCCTCATAGCACCGTACAAACTGACCTCCAGCCCTGATGTGCAGTTGAATTGCAACCTGAGTTGCATTGTGTTTGTTACCAAACTGGGAAATGTCTCTTTGGTGTATACGGTAATTTCCCACCAAAAGTTTGCCAATTTCTGGAGATTTTCAAACTCCCTTCAGAGTTTGTGAAACTCTGGAATCTGGGATGATAATTCCACCATGTTTTGCCTGGAAATCCCTAGTTCTACATACAACCACCAGGTATCTTGAACTTGTACAGGGTGGTCCAAAAGTCAGGAACCATTTTCACAGTTGTACTGTTAATGGGTCATTTCCAAACAAGTGGATTTGACAACAAGATCCCATTGAATTGAGATCCAGTGAACCTAGGTCACTGGACCTCGACCCTCTTGACATCTTTTCATGATGTTCAGTGGGGGGATCTTAAGTTGATCGTCTATGCTGTAGGTCCCAGAAACAGAGGAATTGGGGAGAGAATAAGATCCAAGTGTTCTAAGATCACTGTCCATGTGTTAAGAAATGTTTAAGCATCCTGAGTAAAATGGATTGAAAAGTGTTTCCAGTTTAATGGTGAACAGTTCAAGCATTTACTGTAGAAATATGAAATCTCTATGCTTCATGACTTTTGGCCCATCCTATACATAGGAACAGAGTGTTAGTATTCTCTTCTGTACTATCTTACTGCTTGCAAGGCCCTCTATGGAGAATAATTGGAAATATGGTTGAATTTTAATTTTCAGTCACCATCATAATTGAAATAATATTTGCTTGGGGTTTGTAGCAATGGTGAAATGAGCATTTAGGGGGGGGGGTCTCATAATTTCCTACAAAACCATTTGCAAGCTGTTATTGAAAAAGCTGGTGGAGGAGATATGGGTGTTTCCATGCAGCTTAATGCTGGCCACCAGTTTAACTCCTTTCAGAACAAGTTTGCTTATCACATGAGCTTGCCTCTTTCCTTTTCTCCCCTGACCTACTCAGCTGTTAAGTTACAAAGTGATGGCACTTGATGAGATGCACATGATGCCACCAGTTTTCAGTCATGGAATTGAGCTATGGTGACTGAAGGTAATGACAAGAACCCAGACCAATGCAATAATGGGAGTTTTGAATTACAGAGCTTGGTTTTGCAGGAGAGTAGTGATGACATTAGTCAAGACTGACATGATTGCACAGGTATTGGATATTCTTGGATGTAAGAGCTCAGCCTAGGAGGAGAGTGGCTATGGAGGAATGAAGCAATTATGCTAGTCTAGCATGCAAGATAATTTGGGTCTCAACTGGGCCATGTTCCTACATTTTGGCTTTGTGTCTGTTGACTGTAACAATTAATGATGGCTGCATATGAATCAACCTTCAACCCAATATGTGGTTAGATATGCTCTTGTTCCTACCATAAGTTGCTCATCCTTGACTTTGCTGTTGCAATAACAAAATCTGGTTATGATTCATCCAGTGAGGAAATCATAACCGAGTTCATCTTATTGGGAAAAAATTAGCAGTAATTCATGAAATAGGCCTACTTCTCCTTGGGCTATACAAAAAAAATTCTCCAATGACTAATTTGCTCAAAAGTGAGCCATTGTATAGCTATTAATAATGTTATCATTTCAGTGAAGTCTTGTTTTTAATCTTGGTTGTTACAGCCTTCATCAACAATGGACAAGCTCACTGTTCCTGTCGTTGATTGGGCTTCAAGTGCAGAAACTACAGGCATTGTTCAGGTGACCTTGCCATGAAAAAAAATTTTTTAATTTATAGTTACTGGTTCCTGGGTTTCTGCATTTCTTTACTCTTATTGGGATTTACCAAGGGAGAAGGATGTTAATGCATTTTCTACATTCCTTCATAAAGGTTTTGCTATTAGCAAATGGTGTTTGGGTCAACTTTTCACCATAGTGTCTTTCCTGCTATTTGATATCCAGGGGCTTGGTAGATAAGGACTCAGGAGACTGCCTTTGCATGTACCTTTTTCTACTTCCTGCTCTGTATCTGCTAGAGCGAGCTTCATATTCTCCCTGCATGGAGTTGTTATACAGAAAATAACTTGCCCTGGACTTTGCAATGGGGATATTTACGGGGTGATGCATGACTTGTTGACAGTTTTATTCCAAGTAAAACATTTATTCATTTACATATAATTTTACATAGTTATAGTAAGAGTATTTCATGGAAATCAATTCAATCATTCAAAACATGCTCTTCATGTGAATCATCTCTGTGAATCGTCTCTTTGTGCACTTCTTGCATTTGTGCTCTGAAATTCTTTGCAATTCTATAGACAAGGTCTTCCATGATTCCATTGCATTACTCAATAGTCATTGCCCTCAACCTGATTAGGGTTATGGGATATCTTGGAAAAAGCCTTTCTCTTGAATGACCTAAAAAAAAGTCTCATGGGTTAATAGGGTTGTGTGTTGGTCAAGTCAAACCTCAAACCACAATGATATCATTCCAGATAGCACAGAGGAATCACTTGATCATTGATGTGTTTGTGCAGAAAATTCAACTTAATGCATGTTATGCAAAGTTGGACCTTCTTCCATGAACCATTGAATGGCAGTGAAACCATTGACAGTCCTGTCTGGGACTGAGTATGACATAATATTGCAACATTTCCATATAATAAGCATAATTCTTTCCTAATTGGCCATGTTTAACTATTGCCATGGCCTTCAGCAATTTTCTGTCAGTGCACAATATTTTTCCACAGATAATTATTTGTAGAGACACTAATATCATCAATGACTATTGTGAATGAACTCCATTGCATGAAATTCAAATGTGTCAACATGTCATGTTTATTTTGTTTTGGGCATCAAAGCAACTGCAATTGTCATTATACTGGTACTACTGAGTATTTCTGACAATAACATTATCTGGCCAACTCAGGCCTTGATAATCTGTGCTGTGTCATTGCAGCCTGAAGCAGCAACTCACACAGATGAGCCTGTCATTGAGACTGAAGCCATCCATGCTAGTGCTTCAGCTGCTTTAGGAGATATGAGCACACCTTCATCAGAAGAACCCACTCCTGATGCTGGTGAGTATGATCTTGTTTTGACAATTTTTTCTCCTATCAGAAACAGAGTTTCATTTCTCTTCAAGTTGCTGTGTCTTAAAAAGTTTAAAGTTGAGGGAAAAAATTGTTAAGGGGCCTAGGGTAGGAGGAGGTAGAGAGTGAACCTGGAGAGGTGGACTATGATCTATCTAGTGTGCCTATCAGAGTAGTCTCCACTTGCCTAGCATTCATTGGACTTTCCTTGTCTTCAAAAAATGGCATAACTAGTTGAAATAGCTTGCTTTTTCCCTCCTTCCTCCCACACAGAATGAAAGGAGCTCACATTCTTGAAAAATTAAGTATCAGACTCTTACCATGAATTTATTCCAAACCTTATTTTATCATCTCCTTCCTTACTTAACTGGTTTCCTCCTCCTTGGAATTCTCAGAGTCATCATCTCCTGGTACTAAACCCAGCATCTTCCAATGTAATTAATGTTAGGGATGGTCCCAACAAGCATTTAAAGTCAGTTTTCTGTTTTCTCAAAAGTTCTGTAGGAACATTTGGTGCTAAGTCTTCTGGCACCTTTGGGCTTACCTTTATTACTGCCTGTGGTGTATGTGTCCCATCCTTGTGTAGCTGGAAATGCATGTAGCAATACATGCATTTTCACCTTACCTTGATAAAATAAAGCAAACTATTTGTCAGAGTTCACTTGAGGATGTCACCAACATTTGTGATGAGTAACCTTTTTCCTTGCAATCTCTTTTTCCACCTATTTGATGATTTTTTTTCTTTTTTTGAAAAGTCATTCTGTAACCTTGTTGAAGTAACTCTCTGTATAAGTCTAGTAGTTCTGGGCAAAATTCAATCCATTTAGCACAACCTCCTTGATTTTTTTTTTAGTATAGATTTTATCTCATTTATGCAAAGAGAATCTGAAGTTAACAACTAGCTTGGGAAAACAATGTAGAAATGAATAGAATGGGAAATATTTTATGAAATATGGAAATGCATACATCTCCCATATGCTTCACATATCTATCTGGACATTGGAGTTGAATATATGTCTTTTGCAGGATGTAAACAATAAAATACAGCACAATTCAAGTATTGAGGGAAAAAGTGTTGGAACTTTCTGAGAAGTAAGAATAATATGCAGAAACTCTGATGTGTTCATGAACATGGGTTTTGATTTCCACTATCTTAAAACATGAACCCCTCAAGTGAATGTCCGTGGTTTGGAGATACCTTCCACTCCTATTACAGTGAGAAGTGCATTTGGAAAAAATCATGTTTGAGGTAAGAGTTACTTTTCATCAATGGCAAAGCATGTTTGGATGCCATAAGTCCTAGCAGACAATTTTTGAATCCTGAAGTCTTGTGCCCTTGTTTTTGTGTGTGATCCCACTTTATTCATGGATTTCCAATGACTAATATGGATGATGGGTGTGAGGAGGTTTATTCTTGAAAATTTTATGGGAAGATAGGAGGATTCAGGCTGTTGAAGGACTGCTGAGAGTAGGTATTGACTTGCCCTTTTAATTTTTGCATCACATGTATCACGATTCTCCTCTAAGGAAAGTGTTTATACTTTCATGGACTTGAATGGGTTCTAACATGAAAATTTCATGTACTACTTTCAGTATGGTCATACAGAGTTGCCACAGAGTCTGGAACCACTGGGGAATGGAATTTTATTTCTAACCCACTTTTGTCGCAAGTGATTTACTGAAGTTCTGAAAGTGGCTTGACAAATGAACAATTTGAATTGGTTCATCAAAACTTTAAATATTGCCTTATAACATGCATTGAGTTAGCAGAACATTTTGAGCATTTGTGAACTGTATTCCCCATTTGTTTCAGACTTTGTGGCCACCCTACATTGAGATCCATGTATGCCATACCGGCCATTTGGCTTCCCCTGTAGCTCCATGAATGTAATACAGATCTTCTCAAATCCAGACCACTTTCCCAGACTTAATTACTTTTGTCACATATTTAAGTCATAATTGAAGCATTGAAGATCTTTGTCTGACAGAATTTTTCTATTGAACTTGAAAAGGTCAGAATTGAGTGAGAAGTTGGGATTTCTGGATGAAGTCAGGTCAACTTGCATTTGTTCTCTTCCACCTCAAGGTCAACTTACTGATGGAATTCTTCTAAGCAAGTTTTTCAGCTTTTGGATACTGGTACACAGCTGGTTTTGCACTTTTATTTTGGTCTTTTTTTGGCATATTGACCTTTAGCATTGTGGCTGAGCATCATGGTCATCATCATCAAGTGGGAAATGTTTTTTATCCCTTTCTCCCATTGAAGGTCTTAGTTGTGGCTTGCTTCATCTCCTTTTTGGCATGCTTCCAGTGTTTCCTTCAGGTCCAGCTCCATCTCCTTGGTATTCACTGATGCTTAGTGTCTTAGATTTCTCTTCTGCAGCTAACAAAATCCTGACTCACATTTTGATTTTTGAGCATATATACATCTACCCATTTCTTTTTTCCTCTCCTTAATCACCATTTCATCACAATTCACTCCTTGCATCATATACATTTGGATCTTCTCCAGTCAGGAAGAAAGTAGGTGAAACAGAATCAGCACAGGAGTGTCTTCATCTCATAGAGTCATCATCATGATATATATGTCAACCTTGCAGGTGAAACCCAAGCGCATGAACAAACTTTCAAATGTATTCCCTGCAACTTCTTGTGAAGTGTGTCTTACATCTATGTGGCTAGTTTATCTCTTACAGGGTGGCTCAAAAAAACCAAGCTATTGACTTCAATGTGCTGTAAATCAGGCTGCAGTTCTCTGATATTAGCGAGCTTTTAGGTACACATGAAACAACTCTTTTGCAGAAGATATAAAATTATATGGTATGATATCACAGATTTTTTGCTTTATCAGGATGAAAATGGCCATCCCCATTCAGAAAACTGCTGCAACAGTCATTTGAGTTGCAGCAGCAACAGTTGAACACATTTCATTTCTGTATCAATGTTTTAAGATGTGTTTCTTCCTATTCCAAAAAATTTTTTTTTTTTTAGTAAAACAAAGCAATACCAAGTTACTTGCATGAAGGCTTGGCAGTGATCAAGACCTTCTGAGTTTAAAGGGGATGGGGAAGTCAGAAAAATGATTAATGAACTTTCTGGTAAAGCAAACTTTCAGGTTGATCCTCCTGACTCAATACATGCCTTTAAACATTTTCAGCATTCACTTCAGTTCTTCAGGTTCTGGGCCTTCAATTACCTTGCTTTCAAGTTGGTGATCCTATTTTTAAACTTGCAAGGTCTTGCTTGATCACCACCAAGTCTTCATGCATGTAGCTTGGCTTTGCTTTGCTTTAGAAAAAAAAAATCTTGGAGAAGGAAGAAACACATCTTAAAACATTGATATAGAAGATAAAGTGTTTTCTTAATAACAACAGCTGTCTCTACTCTCTACTCCAACTCAAATGGCAGCCAGGTACTGTTGCAGCAGTTTTCCAAATGGGGATGGCCATTTTCATCCGGATAAAGCAAAAAACTTGTGATATCATTCCCTATAATTTTATATCTTCTGCAAAAGAGTTGTTTCATGTGTACTTAAAAGCTTACTCAAATCAAGGCTCTGCAGCCTGATTTACAGCATGTTGAAGTCAATAGCTTGGTTTTTTTTTAAGCCACCCTGTATATATTATTCATTTAATGTCATCATGAGGAGTCATTTTCATAGGTTGACCAGAACAAGGAGTGACTGCTGCAGTACTGGTAGTTTTCCATTTTACCACAACATTGACCACATTTGGCTTAGGATGGCAGTGAACTATGATATTTTATGAATAGATTTTTGAGTAATGCAGCACCCAATGGCCTCTTCATATTGTAAATTTGTTATCTGTGCTCTTCATATCTTCCAACAGAATGAGGTCCTATGGCAGCTGCACAGTTTTTAAACCATGTACAGTAAAATTCCATAAGACTGTCATGTAAATTACACACATATATGGTCTCTATCAAGAAGTGTGTGGGTGCTCCAGTACCTGTGTATTTGAATTGACACCTCACTGTATGTCATGTCAAGGTCTCGTGTTATTAATCCTTCCTTGGATTCAGCTGCACACACTTGGTGCTTACCACAGGTCCCACAGTTAATTTGGTACTCATATACAAGAAGGACTAAGTTTTCCTTGTGCCTACCACAGTATGGTATTACATCTTCCAAGTAAGATGTTGGTTTGACCTATATAGACCACCTTTCACTTCTTGTTCCATCTAGGGAGCATAACATGTAGATTTATTCCTCCTCTTTGCATTACCTTCCTGCAACTATTTTGAGGAGATAATCTAGGTTTTCCACTTTATCCTTACTGCAGTTGGATTTAATATTTTCCCTTTTACTAGTAAGTAGGACTTTCTGTAACTTGGTTCTAACTTTCAGAATTTGTAGATCATTTTTCCATCTGCTCAATTCACTCCACCTTTTTTACCTGTTATGTCTCTCATTGTGAAATAAATGATTGAATAAAGCTCATCCAATATGCCTGAGGACTGGATTCAATTCAGTTTCAGTACTGGTCTCATTGTCTGGCAAAATAAGTAAAAAAAAATAAGTTCGCACTAGATGCCAAGTTTGGCAGCAGGATAGGTTTCTCAGAATGGAGGATACTTTTTTATTATAAGTAACTTGATCAATTACACTCTTGCTATAGATCTGATTGAATATATCATTCTTGGCCTTTAGAGTTTGGGGTGATGTGCTATCAGGCAAAGTGATTCATAATAAAGACCCATGCCTCTCTTCCTCCTCCTCCCCTTTCTCTACCATGCCAATGTAAGCTACGAGGGCCACTCAATAAGTTATCTACCTGAATATGAAAGGGATGAGCAACAGGCCGGTGCCTGCTGTGACATGTCTCGACAGGTCTTGTGAGTGCCCCATCACTATACCAGCTCAGTGGCTCAAGTCCGTTCAAAGTGGTAGTGCATTAGATTTCTTTTCCTGAGTCTGTGTCATGGGTTTGACAAAAGTTGAACATCGTTCAGTGATGAAATTCCTCACCAAAGAAGGGAAAGCACCTAAGGAGATTCATGAATGTATGTCTAACGTTTATGGTGTGTCTTCGCCTTCTTATTACCAAGTTAAATTTTGGTGCAAGCAGTTTAAGTGGGGAAGAGAGTCAATTGAAGATGACCCAAGGTCGGAGCGCCCTGTGGNTCTAAAAGTCTCAGATCATGATCATGCCTTGAACCTGAACAATCATATTTAAAAAATGGTTGACATTTGTTTAATGGAAAGACTAACATGTAAGTTGGGATGTAGTAAATCCTAGTGGAAATATTCAACGAGTAATTAACCCTTTATGTCGTGCCATTCATGCCTTTATTGGTTGGAAAAATTATTTTGGGAAATTGAAAATATCAGTGGAGACAATCTGAGACCTGGTTGGCTACCATGGTCCTGTTTTTTGAGGGGAGGATTTAGTGACCATGGTTGTATGAATTTACAGCCTGGCATTTTTGTCAGCCCTTTTGGTCATGTTTCATGCTTGGAAATCAACAGTCCTCTTCAAGCTTCCTTCCCCATAAACTGGTAACACTGACTGGGCTGTGTGATGTATTAGTCAAATATTTGTATATAGAAATTTGCTGAGAAAGACATGGGAATTAACTGAATGAATGATTTTATCATGGGCTTTGTTACTGCGCTTTGACTTAAGAAAAAAGAGAGGGATATCAAGCTTTTGAGTTGCCTGCAGTTTTGAGAATCTAAGAGAGTTCAAGGTGCATTTATTTTTCCAATTAGGAGATGAGAGAGGCTGCAATTCCCTAAGTCCAGAAAGAGATGTTCTTTAGGAATTAGCAGTAATCTTTGGCTTTCTTATTCAGGTAGATAACTTATTGAGTGACCCTCATATATAAGTGATGAGGCAAGATAAAATGATATATAAGTTCAGTAAGTTGACCAAGTTGCTAGTAGTCCTCCCTTGTGTGCAACCTGTGCATCCTATTGAAAAATCAAGAATATATGCAGTAAGGCAGTAATTTTAAGTGAAAAACTCATGTTGCTGCCTGTGGTTTCAAATTGGAAATATTTATTCAGTCTGAGCCTGATTTACTTTCTGAAATGCATTTTGCAATAGCTTGTTATGTTGATCAAGAGTTGTGTGGAAGAAGGTGTTTTGAAGACGTAGGAAAGTGTGAAGGACATCACAAATAGCTGAAATATAAAGTGGATGTCTTGTTTTTTTGGTTTGTTCAGCAATATTTCGCATAGCAGCCGGACTTTTGGGGATGATAGCACTGCACATCCTGTTGGTCATCCTCGGTAATTCTCTCTTCCACTTTTTCCTTGTTGTTGTTGATGTTGAACTTTGATCTGTCTCAAATTGTAATGAAAACCTTGGTGTCTTGGTGTTCTTTTTCACTCTGCAATGCTTTCTACCCCAAAAGGCCCAGACTCAGTTATTAATTATTTGTATGGATTATGGAGTTGGAGATGGATGCAATGAAAGTACAGAAAAAAAATGCACATCGAAAGCTTATATTCTAACTGTTAAAGGCTCTCACTCTGTACTTACTGGCAATGCTCTCATCATTCCTCTTACTAAATATCCACACTGTCATAATCTGGGAGCAAATAAAGAGAGATGACAAATTATCCAAAAACCTAGCATGTTCATTGCATTGATCTCTAGAACACTCTCATGCCCTCCTGTTATATGTCGTTGCACCTTGTGCATGTTGTATGGATAGCACAGTGATTGATTAGGTATATGACACTGACTCCCCTTTGGATTCCTGTGTTTGTTACATTATAGCAAGTTATGGTTTTTATTATAGTAGTAGCATTACTTTCATTTATTGGAATATGTAGTGCATTACAAGTTCACTCCCAATATCACACTAGTCTGTTCACAGCAATACTGTACAGTAGAATTGTCTTTCATTATCTATCATTGTGTCATTACTGTCAGTCATTGGTTGCAGTGCTTCTCTTATTCCTTCTCTTGACATTTCTCTAAAGCTAGAGCTTTCTTCTAAAAACATGTGTGATCAATCAAGCTTTGCTTCAGGTTTTAAAATCACACCAGCAGGAAATCAGAATAGGTACCATATTGCAGTGATAGCATACTGCAGTTTTATGGCTATCTCATTGAATTTCTGAAAAGATGTGTGTTTCTCATCCAGCAGGCTCCATTCTGCAGATGATACATATTCCTCATAAAGTCATGAACAGCATTCTGTTGAGTTTGTCTCAGCATCACTTGTGAGCTTCATCTATTTCATACATACATTGTGTCCTTTGTGGATTCTTCCAGTTTCTAGTTTTTGAGTTCTCCAGTCTCCAGTCTCCAATAGAATCTAATGTATTAGGGTTTTTTTTATTTGAATCAGAAACAATGCAGAGACAAGATGAGTTCTCAGTCTTTTGGGTTTTGGTATGGAAGCCTTACTTTTCTTTCTCCTCCTATGAAAAACTGTTGTCATCACTCCATCTCATGTCTTCTCCAGTTAATTGTTCAGAAGTGCTAATTGCCAACTTGGCAGCAAAAGGTCAAATGTTAGTCAGATGAGTTATTTATCTTGAGGTGCCTGGTTTGCTTTCATTAGGAGTGTCATATACTGGGTGGGCCAAACAAAATGGACATTTTTCAACAATACACTATACTTCACTCGCTGCATATATTTTAATGTGGTTTGTGGCCTTTGAAAGAGGAATAAATAAGCTTTAAAAGGGCTTACTTTAATTTTGAATGTCTTCAACAGTTACAGAATCCAGGAGCTCATATGAACAACAAACAAAAGTTGCATTGATGTGTACTCTAACACAGATGGCATGTGACCTTCAACCACTGCCTGTCCATACCTGTCCCATCCTTTGGCAACATAATTTTTGCTTGGCAGTTATATGAGCTCCCAAATTTTTTAAACTGTTAAAGATATTTTAAATGTAAGTACACCCTTTCAAGGCTTATTCATCCTCTTTCAAATGCTGCAAACTACATTATAATGTATGCAGTGAGTGTAGTATAATGTATCATTGAAAATTATCCAGGGTTTTTGGCCCACTGTGTACTGCCAGACAGAAGTAAGTCAACCATTTTTCCCTGGTTTCTCTCATGTTCACACTGGGCAATGAATTAGCATTTTTGTTGGTGTATGAAACACTGCAAAACTGCCCTAGTGCCTCTAAACTTAGTTTTTCAGCTCTGAAAACTTTTGAACATAAAAAAATTTTTTAGAGGTAGACAGTTTATAACCATCTCTACAAATGTTTATCTGATCATATATATGGTTATATGCTCCAGATCTACTGTAATGATTAGGTGCATGTTGACAAGGAGTCTCTTAAAGACTCCTTTGCCAACCTGCCAGCCTAGCATGGCTGGTAAATGGGTGTCAAGTGCATTTTGCCTTTACCTGTGATGCATGTAGTACATTTCTGGAATGGGTTAGACATCAATGGAACAATGTTGTAACATTTACTTCTGCATGAGCCCTGCCTGTTATCTGCTCTCCAGTGTTGTAAGGTTTGAAATTTCATTGTCCTCCATAAAAAAATACAAAAAATGATAAGAGGAAGAATTGTTTAATTGCTTTTGGCTGGCAGTATACTTCTTAACAAAATATACTCTGATGGTGGCTGGAATTTCATTTCCTACTGGTTTGGAGTAATCCTTTTGGTGTCTCGTAGGGTTTGCCCGTCAGGAAGTGACACGGCACCATGCCATCCCTGTGATTCATGTGCATGAACCACCAATGGAGTCAGAAGTAGAACCTCAGATGGCAACAACAGTCACTATTGATCATCATAAGGAAGAAGAACAGGTACAGGAGGAAGATAAGGAGTCTGTTGTCCCAGCCATGGAATATGGAGAATGGGGACCTGGTACATCTTTCTATGAAGAAGCAAGTCTTGAGGTAATGGATGAAATGCATCACTACTCCATGTCTGGAGCACCATCGCTCAATGGGGAGAAAGTGACATTTCATATGGAAGGTGCAAAGAAGCAAACAGTTTTTAATGATGAAACAACTCCAGAAATGGAGGAACATTCAAGGGATGATGAAGATGTGAGTGATGTGACTGAAGAAACTCAGGAACAGGAGCTTGTGAATCCTGTTACTGAAAAGACTTGGGAAATGCCTGAGTATTCTTTGTCACCAGAAGAACAAATTGAGGTATTTGAGGAATCCCCTGAAGGATACAAATCAGAACATCTCACTGGGGAACTACCACCATTAGAGAGGGAACATGACAAGAGTAGTGAATCTAATGAAATTAAATTAGACTCAGAGCAGGAACTAGGAGATTTGGAAGTTCCCCCAATGGGAACTGAGCCTCATGATGCTCAGTATCAGACAGATGTTGAGCTGGAGCTAGATGGTGTCCACACTCATGGACTTGCAGAAGAGGAGCCAGATCAAGAGTCTGCGGAGCAAGAACAACCTTATCCAGGATTCCAGGATTCCAGGCAAGAAAGGGAAGGTTCTGAGCCTCATTTACAGCAGGTTCACCAAGGAAGAGGAGGCTTGCCCACATATGAAACGGAGGAGTCTCTCCAATCACTTGAAGAGAGAGGACCATATGAAGTTGAGGAGTCTCTTCAATCGCTTCAAGAAAGAGAGCCATATGAAGCTGGAGGAGAGTCAATGGAAAATTTGGCTGAAGAGATTTCAGGGCCCCACGAAGAAGAAACTTTGACAATTCCCTCTGATGTGGAAATGCGTGAAGATGATATGGAATTTCACGAAGCGGAGAAGGAACTGTTGGATGCAGAACAGACACTTCATGCAATAGAAATACCCAAAGAACAGCCTAGCTCAGAAGAATCCAGTCATGTGGAAGCTGAAGAGAACTTCCCCAGTGACAGTCACAATGTCCATGGACCAGATGATGCAAACTTCAAGGAGCCAGAAGGTACAGTAATTCTAATCCATCCAGGCCTTGCTTAATTTTCTGGAGATGTAAGTAGAACATGTATTCAAACAAGGGTTTAAGAGTGGAAGGATGATTTTGGGTTTTTTCTTGTTTGTGAATCAGAGACAAGTCACTCCGCTTATATGCCTGATTGGGACGAGGAGAGTGAGGAGGCTGAACAACGTGTAGAAGAGGTAGGTGCATGTAAAATTTTTATGAAGTCACTCACATAAGTTGGATGTGACACCCTGTAAAAATTTCCTGCCATTGCTTTATATGATGTCTTATCTGCAGTCATATTGAAAACATTTTTTTGGACTATGTTGGTAGTTTGGGAAAAATGTCTCATTTGTAAAAATATTTTCACCACCTACTGGCTTCATTTGTCTATGATAACAGATGAAGTCCTGTTCATATGGACCTTTGTAATTTATAGGATGTAACCATTTAATTGCAGAGCTCCATAATAGTGGCAAAGGAAGACTTATTATGAGTTGCTTAAAAACTCTTTTTAAAAAAATGCAGGAAACTTGTAGTCCAAAACTCATAAGTATGAAACATGGTAAGGAACATTTGAGATAAAACTTCCAAAGCTGGAAGGCATGATTTCACAGCATAAGAATCATCTGCAAAGACACAGGCATTATAAATCATGCTGACTGCTGTGGAGAGATCTCTTCCTTGAAGATTATTTTTGTCCAAACAAAATAAGCCCTAAAATGCAGACTTTAATGTACAAGGTGGCCCATAAGTAAGTTTACCTGATTAATGAGCCAAAGGTAAAAAAAACCTTGCTCTTTGGCAAGTCTATAACCCATTTCAGCAGTAAACAATTATGGTCAACATCAGAATCTAAAAAAACAAATGAGAATAATGTGTAACATAATGAACCTTGGTTAATAAGAAATTAATGTAACTGGAAATCCTTTGGTTAACTTTCTTATTGGCCCCCCTGAGTTTTTTTTATTCAGGATCATGATGGCTGTAATGCTCACTTTTGACTTTTGTTAATGACTTTCATGCTTTAGCTCACTATAATGGCTAATATGCAAGACTTTTCCAAGATAAGCCCATGTGGATTTGTTTCCCCTGTTAGAATTCATGTTGTCTTCCTTTTCTTTCCTTCCTCCTTCCTGCCTTTCCTCTGAAGGACTGGAGTTCATTATTTCCATAACATTATCTATACTGAAAATTTGTGTACTTAAACAGTTTCATAGTCTGTTTTAACCCTCTTTATTGTTACCATACATTCATGGGTTCCCCACTTAAGCACTGCAGTCCCCTACTTGAATTCCATGTTTATTACCATGTTTTTGTGATCTTAAGTTGAATGAGAAATATGAAATTGTTTGTGTTTATTTCTTTATGAATGCTGTGCCTTGTGACAAATGTTTTGTACATGAGTTCTCAAGTAGGCTAGTGTGAATTGAACAGGTTTGCAGTTATTAAAAAAACTCATGTAAGAAAAATAGATGTATGTAGATGCAATGAGTTGATCATGGGACTGGCATGCAAGCAAATGCTGAGGATTTGCAAAGCTGTGATAAATCCCTAACAAAATAGGATTTTGGGTGTGTGGATGTGCATGTATGATGATAGTTGGCACCCTTGTCCAACCCTTTCCCAACACAGATCAAGCACTCCGTTGCTCAATTGCGAGAAACCATTCAAGATTTCTCAACCATCTTGGATGTGAATCCCAAATCACACGGAGCTCTGTATGGATATGCTCATGCTCTGGATCGTCTTGCACAATTACTGAGTAGTAATGATGTGTTGGATGATGCCCTGGATGCCTTTCGGAAGCTTTTAAGCCTTCCACATCGGCAGGTCCCTGCCAAACTTTATAAGAAGGCACTCAGGAGATTTGTTGAGCGTCTTCAGTTCAGAGGTAAGACTTCCATTCCCCCTCCATTTTTCTAAAACTCTTTGAGTAATGTCCTTCAATCTCACTAAAATTTCTTGAATAGGGCATTTGCAAGGTGCAGTTGAAGTTTTGGAAGCAGCTGTGAGAGATTTCCCTGATGAGAAGGAATGGAGGAATTCCCTTGCTGTTGGATATCTCCTCCTTGGTGAGAATGATCTGGCTAAAGAAGCCCTGGAGGATACTCTTGAACTTTGGCCTGAGGATGGCTTTGCCAAAGTGCATTTGGGCTTCATATACAAAGTCATCATTCATAACTATGCCAAGGGTAGATCCATTTTTCAGCCATCTGTTTCTTTTGGCTATATCATAGTGAGCTGTCTGAGGATACATTGGCTTTTTATCTCCTTCTGGACAGGAGCTGAGCTTATGGAGGAAGGTATCAACACAAATGAAGAGGGCACCCATGATGGTCGCTTCTATTATCATCTTGGTGATGCCTATATTAGGCTGAAGAAGCAGGCTCAGGTTTGTCAAGAAGCTCTGTGGTCACTTTTAGTTTTCCATGTTGAAATATCATCACTTTATATTATGTCTATTGTTAATTCTAACATTCTCATGCATCACTAAATGACAATAATTTCCTATCCCCTCTCTTGTCTAACATCTCAATGCCATTCCAAAGCTGCTTAAGGTTTCATCACCATCATCTGTTTTATTTCTTCTGCTGGACAAAGGCCTCCCAGTGTACATGCCATTTCATCCTATCCTGAGCTGCTCCAAGCCATTTGTTAGCTTCAAAGCTTCTGTTTTCCTCACTCCAACTTTTCTATGGTATACCCCTTGGATATCCCATCTTTTGGTGGCCTTTCAGTAACTAATTTTGTTCATCTCCCATTCATGCTAGATGCTCCAGGTCCTTTTGCACTTCTGAAGGTGTATTGATGCAAAAACATGGGCTGTGATTGACTGCAGTCTTTTCTATTTTTGGTATTTTTGTGATATTTCAGGCTGATGCAATTCATGAGAAAGGAGCAAAGGAAGGGATTTTCTTGTCAACTCAGCAGAGATCATTATATAATGTGGATCATCTCAAAGCCCAGCCCTGGTGGACAAACCGGGAGACAACTTATGAAAAAGATCTTGAGTATGATCTTCCATCCTTTCTGCTGGTTCAAATGGTTTCTACAGTCTTACTTATACAGACATAAACTGGTGTATTTTAGGGCTATGGAAGAGCGATGGGAGCAGATCATGGAAGAGGTGAATCCTCTCATTAGATCAGGAGCTAAAGAATTTTCTGATGAGTCAGAAGATCTACGTGATGGAGGCAGCTGGAAGGAGCTTATTCTTTTTGCACGAGGTAAGCCACATTGCTGCTCTTTTGACTTCTTCCATGCCCCAACATTTTATTTTTGAACTGAGCTGATCTGTTATGTCCCACAGGACGAAGGCACAGTCAGAATTGCAATCTGGTGCCAAGGACATGTGGGATTCTTGAGGCATTCCCAGCTGCAAGTCAGTGTCGGCGAGGACAAGTAAAATTCAGTCTCATGCAGCCTAGAACTCATGTTTGGCCTCACACAGGTCCAACCAACTGTCGGTTGAGGGCTCACCTTGGCCTTGAAGGCCTCCAAGGGGCCGCAATTCGTGTCGCCAATGAAACCAGGTTCTGTTCATGGTCCATTTTAACCTACTTCAATTTCCAGTTTCAAACAATATTTGATCTAATTTTTTTTACTTGTTTTATTTATATTTATAGGACATGGAAACTAGGAAAATTCATCATATTTGATGATTCATTTGAGCATGAAGTTTGGCATAATGGGACAACTGATCGGTTGGTTCTCATTGTGGACATGTGGCATCCAGGGCTCAACGAGCAAGAGAGACACACACTTCCTGCCATTTAATTGGACTATGCACTTTACTTAATCAAATGAATCTCAGAGATTGTCCAGGAAGCTCATCATATCATAATCTCGTTATTTATTGCAGCTGTAGCTCAAGTCCTATGCACACTTATTTAGACTGAAAGTGGACTTTTACAAATGCAGCTTTTGATTTATATCCATGTTTTTCTAAGTAGGAAACATTTATTGGACAGTTCCTAGTCTGTGGCAACCAAAGAATGGGGGCTTCCACTGTGTTCTTTCACTTCTCATGGAGTTGAGAAATCTCTCACTGACTCTTCTTGCTTAAGTGTGATAAATTTTGTGATCTTGCAGAATGGAGCTTCTGTTGCATAATGCATTTTTCATGCAAAATCAACTCTTTTCAGCCATTGAGAAAAAGTATGCCTTGCAATTTTGTACATTACTTGGACATTGCAATCCCTTGGGACATAACATGCAAAGCCAAAAGATTTTCCTCCCTCAACTTAAAAGAAAGAAGGTGGTTATTTTATGCTTCAAGTGCCTTATGTGCCACATTGGGGGCAACTGCTCAGGTCGGATGAGGTGCTAATATGTTTATATCTTCTTGATACAGTTTATCAGTATATCTAGCATTTTCCTTGTGGAGTTTGTTTTTCTCCCACCTCTAGAGACTGTTTATATTTGTTTGTTTTATAACAAAGTTTCATGGATTGTTTGGAAATAAGTATGAAATTGGTGGAATCCCTCATGTGTGTTTCTTTTTTACTCATCCGTCAGTTGCAAATAATCCTTACCAAATGAGTGTGATTGTGAGCAAGAGTCAAATCTCCTTCCAAGAGCCATTCTTTTTTTCTCAAAATCAATCAGATTAATGTGGTGTAAGCAAACTTTCAAAATTAGACTAAGATAAGATACACCTATTGTTACTTCTTTCTGGCAGTTGCTCTGGGGTTATTTTGCATTACCCACTGGCTATGTTTAAAAGGTTTTCGTTGTCTTTGTTGGGAATGTGTTAGAAGCTAAGCAGACTCGACACACTGGTTGACTCACGGAAAATTACAAAAAAAATTTAGATCTATAACCCAGCATAACTAATGCTGTCGACTCCGCATAATGTAATACCTTTCTTTGCGCAGTCTCGATTTACGGTACGATACAGTTGATAGTATTAGTTATTGGAATACTGCGAAATATAAAATTAATTTTTTAGCTATTCCCGTGAGCATTCAATTCCCGTTCTTTCGCTATTCCCGTGAGCATTCCATTGTGCGAAGTCGACTGTACTTGAATCCCCGTATGGCAGATAGCTTGATGAATTGTAAGAAAAATGGACGAGTATAAGCTAAAAATGAGACCATAGGAGCTGAAGGAGCCAGAGCCACTCCGCAGCTTAGGAGGAAAAAAGAGTGAAATGAAGAGGAAGCTCTGCCTCATCCATCTCACATACCTTCATCTCATCATTTTTAAATATATCCTATAAACCGTCTCAGAACTCAGCAATCCTGTTTGCCGAGGTTGAAAACCAAATGAAGCTATCCGGAGCAATCAACAGAACCGTAACTTGAGGCCATTTAACTCTTAACGTGCAGTGCGTCAGAGTGCTTGAGGTTTGAGCAAGAAGGCAAATGCGCATGCCTGCAAACATCCAAGAGTCTTCAATTCTTTGAGTGGTGGGTTTTTACATCCTTGCCGGACCTACGGGAGTGAGTTTTTTTTTATTCCGCGATTGTGACAGAAAATTACAAGGTTTATTTTACTTACACAAATTACCATTGTACTTTTTTTTTTTTTACAAGTATTTGGGCATATGAATATTGGGATCTCTGAGGTGATTTTGTACATTTATCTTGCTTCTATTCTTCAGAAATGCTTTAGGGTGTGGTACTCTGCGAAGCAGGGATGGATACAACGTCCGACGTCACAGGTGACGCATTGGTACCTGGAATTGGTCCTCTTCTGCTGACGTATTTTGGTTATTTTGCATATTTATGGGATTAATTGCAATTTAAATTGGCAGAAAAGTTCCTGGAAGACATGGCTTGATGGTAGCACATGCCTGGCCAGTCTCATGACCCTCCGCATGCATTTGCGCTTACGACACCACGTGAAAATATGATCCCGTATATATACGGGCATGTTCTGGTAGTACCACCCGGCGTTGCCCGTATATATACGGGCATACTCGTCAAAGGGTCTTTAAAAAAAAAAAAGGCAAGTCTTTCTTACGGAATCAGGATCAGCTCAATTCAAGACGACTGCGCGCGAAAATGTAAGAGGGAAAATTAGTTTTTCCCCTGTTTGAGTTGTGAGGGGGTGGCTGCCGGAGGAGGAGGAAGTTAAAAACCATCTGAAGGCGAGTTTCGAGAAAATTTGAGAGGGAGAAACATCTAATAAAACCATGGCCTGTATTCTGCCTTGAATTCCTCCCTTTTTAGTGCTTGTTAAAAAACAAAAAAACTTTTAAAGCACAGCTTTTAACCTATAACTCTACCTCGAGCACTGATTACGTCTAGCCCATTCACAAAGTTAATTTACTGGTCGAGATCAATCTACAGGTAGTAACGTCATGACGTCATTGACCGCGATTGTAAGCTTCTATACTCCATCGCAATTTTTTTTATCGCAAAAATAAAGAAAACGATACGTCGAAGAAAGTTTTATCTAATGAGGAGGATAAATCCTCATTAGATAAAATCCTCCTCGCTCGCGCTAGCCTTCGTTCGGCAAGCCTTCGACGTAGCTCACTCGCGTTTGAAAAACAGGCTTTTTGGACTCCTAATGAGACACATCTGAAAGGCTCTGTTTAAATAGCCACAGCCCGATGCGTGGAAAGGATCATTTTCTCCCTGAAGTTTGAACGATTGATTCAAACTGATTGCTTTATTCAAGCAACCTAAAGACTAAAAAATTTCATGGAAGAAGTTGTGAGTATTGTCTCTGATACTAAGAAAAAAATTAGTAGACTTCCATTTTTCTAAATAGGCTTTACACGTCAAACACGCCACCTGGTATGTGCTCACTGCCAAAAACGCAACCCCAAGGAGTTGAGCAACATGAGTGAAATTCGGCATTGGAGCTCGTAGCAGTGACTAATAAAATCGATCAAGTTTCAAGGTCGTACGATGAGTAGCCATGGAGAATGCTCGCCAAAAGACCAGGAAAAAGAGGGAATGGAGTCCGTCCACGCCAAGTGACGACTTATCAATCAATCGCGCCAGGTGACTTCATTTTCTGTTTTTGTGAAGCAATACCGAAACAACGACCCTAGTGGATCGGTTCAATGAAAAGGAAATGCCTAGCTACCAAAGCCACACATGAGTGCCCGACAGGGTGGGATTCACATTGCCACTGCGCTCCAAGCTCATGAGTCAGCGGCACATGCTCCCTGCCTGTGCTGCTTGGCATTGCCTTTCTGCGTTAGACCGGTTTTCTCCCTGAAGACCCATCCTACGGCCGCGAAACTTTAATCGATTTCATTCCAGTTCCTTTTGCCAGATATGAATACAGCTTTTAAAAAAACTTGGCTCTTTTAAATATTTATTTTAGCGATACAGGGCGTAACAAAAGTCACGAATCATATGTGATCCCGATCGGAAATAATTTATCCATTTTTAATTTATCCGGCCTTGATTGTTTGAAACTCACTTTGGGTGGCACACCCAAGTTTCTTGAGGTTGGGGGGGGGGACAGTCGTCCCTCTGCCTTACTGTTGGTGCGCCTATGAAACTCACCTGGCCTCCTAATAGTATAATAGAACGCAAAGTAACAATTATGTTGTCAACCAGAGCCATGTCAGTTCCGCTGACAAAAATCTTCCACTTTTGATTAATGAGGATGATGGGAAGCGAGGTCCGCTTGCAGGGACGTACCAACCCTGGGGAGGTATCATATAGCGAAAAGTGCTGGACGCCAGTTCATCTGTTCCCCACCACTAACTCCTTTCACAGAGGTTAGGTCTGCTCCTGCTTCTTTCCTCACTCAATCTTCATTACTACCTGCTGGGTGGTAGGAGATCCGCCCTTTGTAGTCTGAGCGAATATACTATTGTACAGAGTGGCCCAAAAGTCGCCCACCATAGGGCAAATCAAAGTAAATGTTCGAATCGTTTGCCATTAACTTGAAAACACTTCGATTCGCTGTACACATAATGTTTGAACATATCTTAACTCCACATTCTCGTCTTTCATTAATTTTGCAGCCATCAGTTACCGGCAAAGAAAGAAACAAGAATTAATGTTGTGTAACAGTAAAATCCTATATGGTGCGCGACTTTTGCACCACCCTGTACAATGCCAAAGTTATCTTGGTCGCAAAATGTGGTTCACGGGAAACAGTTGTGAATGGAAGGTAAAACTGATGGATAACGGTAGAGGAGCAACGGGAGGTATTCAAGTCGGTTATTTTAGACTTAAGGGATGTTTGTATCCAGCGGCGTTGCTTTGGGGAACCAGGATGGGGAGGGGGGGGGGGGGGCAAGCACGTGCCCCCCACTTTCGCAGAAGCAAAAAAAGGAGACAAAAAAAGGAATGCATGACAGGGTCCCAGACTTCCAGTGCCCCTCCTCCCCTCACACTTTTTCCATCCACGTTACGCTTGTATCCCAAAGAAGTCGGAGAGATTGCTCAGACAGTCGGTCTGATTTACGGGTAAAATTAAGACGTTGAACAGAAGTAAGAAGCAAAAATGGGATTCGCATCGGCGCACGGGAAACCAAAAGGAGAACGAAGAATATCGGGTTACTACGAGGTCATTGAAGCAGTGATAACCAGGTCAGTGAAAGGATGAAAGGAGATGTCTAGGAGCGTCTAGCTATTAATACTTAAAAGAATCACAATATATTTTTATTATTATTATCAATATGCCTGAGGTAGGAGTCATTAGATCGGCCCCCCCAAGCAGCGGTGCGCAAACTTTTCAGTTCGCCCTCCCTTTTCATCAATGTATTCCGTCGCGCCCCCTTATCCCCCCTCTTTCCCCCCTACACTGGTTCCGTTTCATCAGAAACTGACTGTAATTTCGGGTAAATTGACATGAGAAAGGAAAGATGAGTATGTAGTTTTTGTACGTTCCCACGTTACCTTTAACGTGGTAACGTACACGTAGTAACGTACACGGAACGTTAACTTTATTAAAATCGCAGTTATTGAGAATAATGCAATACCACAAAACAAAAGCCAGTTCAGGATTTAGAATTTCCTATAGGCCTATGTGTAGTGCTTTTCTTCATTTCTTCCCTTTTAATTTAATTTTGAACCCTAAAACTCCCTAATTCCGAGAAGAAAGCTAATGCAATGGCCAAAGTTAGCGCCTCCCCACAGAACCCTTCGCACCCCCCCCCCCTCCCAGTTTGCGTACCGCTGCCCTAAAGGACAAGAGGGAGAAGTTACTTGCGAATAAAACGGAGGCATGGACTTCTGAATGACTTCTTTCCTTCTGTGTTCGCGGGCTAATCAGTCCACGTCCCGTCAATGAACAAGGTCACCTCGGCGTACATCGATGATATCGAAGAAGAAATCACGAGCGACACTACGAAGCTGACAGTTGGAAAGATAACCGGTCCACGGTTGGATTCCGGTGCGTGTCGTCGAGGAACTCGTTCGGCAAGTACCGGTACCGTCCAGCGGGATGACTTTGGACACGGTTTATGAGCAGTCCGGCATGTGTTCCGTTTTTCCATCGAGATAACTTAAAAAATCTGAAATACAAACATGAATTATTCAAAGTGGGACTATGACTGC